TGGTGGTGGTGGTGGTGGTGGTGCCGCCATACACACAACCGAACTTTCGATCACACCCACAATGGCCGGCGATGAGCAGTTCATCGATCTGGGGAGCCTACGTCGCTTCTCGATCGATCGCCAGAGCTTTCTCGGTAAGGCCGCGTGATCCCAGTTTCATGAACACTAGAACAATTACTTTGAAAAATGTCCAGCAATTTGGCACCACAGACCAAACATCAATCGTATTCGTTAATTTTGTTTAATATTTAACTTCAAACAATTTAATTTTGATAACGCAAACATGTTATATTCTCACACCGAGCCCTTTGTGTTTAAATTTTTGTTTGGTAAACTTTTCAATCTCCAAAACTCAAAATCAATCTTATTTTCCTTAACTTAGGTCTCCATGATAGTGATAGTTGAACATAATTTTTATAAATATTTTAGAATTTTTCTGGTGCAATTAAATGATATAGGAAAAACTAAAAACTAAACTTATATTTTCGTGTTCAAGTTTGCTGAGATTTTTTAAAGAAATGTCTACATTAATTCCATATTCCAGTGTTTGGTTGACCCCCACAGAATGAAAAAACAAACTACACACTTTTTACACTCGACCCTTTTGATTGATATTTTTGATCGATTACTTATTGTTCCCTCTTTATTTTAATACCACCTGCAGATCTAGGACCAAAGTTTGGCATGACCCAGCCGAAATTCGGGCAGAGTGTCTCGCAACAAGGTTTCTTCACTTCGCACGACAGCCTGGCCACACCATGCGCCTCCAGGGCCTCCAATTCGCACATGGCCACCGTAAGCACTGCCTCAGAAATGGATCTTCTGCACAACAAGCAACGCAACAAGTCGCGGGGTCGCCTGAAAGCGGCTGCCAGCGGCGATCAGCCGCTGCTGGGCACCTGGAACCGTTCCACGGGACGCGGCTCGCAGGATAACACGCTGGCCGGCGGCGGAGCCACCAGTTTGGCCATGGGCGGCCACAACCAATACGGTGGCAACTACTGCAACGGCACAGATCGGTGGGTATAACACTCAAAGAAATTTTTTCCCCTCCATTATAACTGTAAATATTTGCAGGAGCTAAAGAAATCAATTAAAAACGATTTACATTACATTTTGGTTGGGAAAGATTTTATCCCAGATTAAGCAATATTTTGCAAGCAAACGAAACAGATTATAACAATTTGTTCTGTATATTGATTTCTTAATTACTTATAAATGGTACATAATAAGTTAAAACTGTTATTTGACAAGTCTTTCTGGCACTTTAAAATACTTCTTTAAAAACATTGCCAAATAGTTTTTAAGTTAAGCATATACAAGCTATTAATGTGGGATCTTTTCTACTATTGATCATTTATTGATCTTTCTTTCTATAATAAAAGTTTCATAGTATAAGGACAGCTGATGATTCTAACCCCGTGTTAATGATTTCATTGCGTTCTCTACAGCTACCCGCGCTCCCGATCGCAGCAACAAGGGCACCACAATGCCGCTCAACAGGCGCATCATCCCTATCAGCTGCAGCACTCGGCCTCCACGGTGTCGCACCACCCGCACGCACACGGTCCACCCTCGCAGGCTGGACCAGGTGGCCCCGGGCCACTCCACGGCGGACATCCGCACCACCCGCATCACGGCAGCGGGGGCGGCAGTGGGGCCGGGGGTCACGGAGGGCAGCCGCACCACCAGAAACCACGGCGCACCGCCTCGCAACGGATTCGAGCGGCAACGGCGGCCAGGAAACTGCACTTCGTGTTCGATCCGGCGGGACGGCTGTGCTACTACTGGTCCATGGTGGTCTCCATGGCCTTCCTGTACAACTTCTGGGTGATAATCTACCGCTTCGCCTTCCAGGAGATCAATCGGCGCACGATTGCCATCTGGTTCTGCCTGGACTATCTGTCCGACTTCCTGTATCTAATCGATATATTGTTCCACTTTCGCACCGGATACCTGGAAGATGGGGTGCTGCAGACGGACGCATTGAAGCTGCGCACCCACTACATGAACTCGACGATCTTCTACATCGACTGCCTGTGCCTGCTGCCGCTGGACTTTCTCTATCTGTCCATTGGCTTCAACTCGATCCTGCGCAGCTTCCGGCTGGTGAAGATCTACCGCTTCTGGGCGTTCATGGATCGCACCGAGCGGCACACAAACTACCCGAACCTGTTCCGCAGCACGGCCCTCATTCACTACCTGCTTGTGATATTCCACTGGAACGGCTGTCTGTACCACATCATCCACAAGAACAATGGCTTCGGATCGCGCAACTGGGTCTACCACGACTCGGAGTCGGCGGACGTGGTCAAGCAGTATCTGCAGAGCTACTACTGGTGCACCCTGGCGCTGACCACCATCGGGGATCTGCCCAAGCCGCGCTCCAAGGGCGAGTACGTATTTGTGATTCTGCAGCTGCTCTTCGGCCTGATGCTCTTCGCCACGGTGCTGGGCCACGTGGCCAACATTGTGACATCAGTGAGTGCAGCGCGAAAGGAGTTTCAAGGTGAGTGAAGATTTCACAAGCCTAAATGTTGTGACTTTCAAACAAAGCTCCGCCAAACTGTCCCCATTATATAATACTTGCTGTCAGAAAAAGATAGGTAACCTTAGGGCCCTCTTGAAAAATGGAATCGAAAGACACTCTCAAAGTGTTTTTATGTTCAAAGTGTCTAATAATTTTCTTCGGTTTCATCTGAGTCTGACAGGAGCTCTGCTTTTAAAAAATAGGATGAAGTAAAGATTGTTGAGAATATGGAGAACAATTAAATATAAGCGGTGCTACAAACATAATAATAGTTTTGAAATTACTTATAAATGTTTCTAAAAGTATGCAACAATATATTTAAAAAACAGAAATCTGATAGATTCATGGTCCTTTTTTTCTGCATACTCTTATACCCCAATGAAATCCGATATCATATTTGTCATTGGAAAGCAAGCATAGCTTTAATTCATAAATTATTAATAATCAAAACCATTAAAATGGTGCAGCTCAAATTAATGCCAGTCATTGCCGCACAGAAAAAATCCGTATCTATTAAAATAAAAGTCCCAAAAAGAAATGTTTTCTGAAAATAATTAATGTCACTGAATACTGTACGAAGTACTTAGCCTGATTAATTATTATGTTTTGTTTTATGCTAACAAAGAAAATGGCTGGGTTGCAGAGTGGTTCTTAGAAGTATTTGTCTGATTGATAACACAGGCCTTAAAGTCTTGGTAGTCAATTCTCTAGTTTTTTATGAAATTTTTATACAAATGCAGCTTACACTATGACAGATGAAAACAAATGTCAAAGGATAAGCTTGAAAAATATTAAATATGCCATGCAACTTATCACCGGAATTCCAGCTCTGACCTTTCGAACGGAAACCCGTATTAGTGCAGATGGAAAAGGTGAACGTTAAAAATAGCTACAAAGGTATTTTCCAGAGAATTGACACAAGAATTCCGAGTCTTACCAAACTGTCAACACTTGTTGCCTATAGTTGTCCTGACAACTGAATGAGGACCTAGAAGCGTATGAATGCGGCTAAAGAAGAAAGGGAACGGGACAACAAAAGGCAAATGCTCTTGTACTTATCCTTAAGCTGCGTTGTTTGCACGGGGCATGTATATGATTGTGCGGGTTGAACACTAGTGCCAGCTTGGCCAATTTTATGCAAAATATTGAAATCTGGCGCTGCTATGACATTGCCAGAGCCAGAGCCAGAGCCAGAGCCAGGGCCTGTAATGCCCATTGTGGCACACAAAGAGCGCTCGAAGGACCCGAAGGACTCGTGGAGGAATCTCTCGTAGGCTCAGTTGGGCGTGCGACCATTAGCTAAATGAACTCGTTTACTCGGCCGGGCCATAAATAACTGGACGAAATGCAAGAGCAATTCAAGTCAGCTAAGTGGAAAATGCCAAGTGAAAGGCAAAGGACTAGACTACTCCACTGAAAACATTTTTTGCAATTTGATGAATACTCTGATTTTATTTGAATATAAAATTTATCAAACCTAGCACTCTACTTGCACGAAATTTGGATCATAATCTCCTTAAATTTTGTATACAAGTTTGTAATTCTTCAGGTTTGAAGTAAGCCAGTTAATCTTTTCAAATAGTTCAATATTTGTTTTTTTGTGTTTAGGGTTAATATCCTAAAAGATTTCTTCTTGGCTTGTTTTTTAGAAATAGCTTTATGGGAAAATCATTGTGACAATGTTGATTTTTTTTGAGTGCACAACTAGACTAAAAGGAAGACGCATTAAGAGGAAACGGAAACGGGAATAAGAAAAAGCGGCAGCGGTGGCATCATTTCTTGCTTTCATTAAGAGCAGCGTCAGCTGAAAAATATTAAAGCCACTCACGACGACAACGAGTCAAGGTGGTTTGGTGGCCTCATGCCAGCAGGGAGCAAACAAAGCACAATTGGACGCCGGGGGGCGAGTCCAAAGGAGGCGTGGCACCTTGATTTCTGCTGGCTTTTACTTCTGGCCAAGCTCCTTCTTCTTGTTCTTCTCATCAGCCCCGCCTGCAGCTGCCGGCCAACTGGCAGCTGACTTGTTTACACAACACTTTGCATGTGAGTTTGTGTGTGGCAACTGCACATGTGTCCATGTCCATGTCCATGTCCTGCAAGTGGGAGTGGCAGGGGGCGGCGGTATGGCAAAGTCAGCAAGCAAAGCTCTGGCGGCTTAATGGACGAAACGTGCTGTTGAATTAATTTCTGGCTTTATGGTCTCAATTTTTTTCCTTTTCGTTTTCCATTTGGCCGCCTTAGTTTTTTTCCCCTGCAGACAGAAATATACTTCAATGTATTGAAATTCCATTTTTAAAAATGTTCAAATTAAATAAACTTTTCGAAAATAATAATACAGAACATCGAAAATGGAAAGTAATACATTATTTAATAAGCTCAACGCTCCAATTGCACAGAAAATCCAGAATTAAATAGTTTTCAAGTGAAATAAAATATAATTTAAAAGAAAGACTTCAAACAACATGGGAACTGTTGTCAAAAAAATATTTTCTGTATATTTTGTTTGAATTGACTAACAATTTAAATGGAATTGTTTTCCGTGTTAATTTTTTCTGAATGCAATTTTTTCACGCACACAATTTACAATTTTTATTGTGGGCCAAAGTTTATGTGGGACTATGCATAAAGCTGATAAAGTCGCGTTGGCTTATGCGACCATCGCCATCCATATCGACTGAACGGAAGATGTCCATGGTTTCATCGTCGGTTACGACTGCTCCCAAGAAGACCATGATCGCACTTACGTCCTGGCAGCTGACGTAACCGTCGCGATCACGGTCCAGCAGGTTGAAGATCCGCTCCAGACTCTCGTCACTTTCCACATCGGCCAAGCGGGGCGCCATCATTTGCAGAAATTTGGGAAAATTCAATACTGGCTCATTCGTGCCAACCACCGAACGGATGAGATCGTAAAGCTCCGCTTCAGTGACCTCGTGACCCATTGAAATCAAAGCCATACGGATCTCAGTCGCTGATAGAGTGCCATTGGAATCCAGATCGTACCTTTCAAAGGCATCCTTCAGCTCTTCGACCTGCTCATTCGTCAGCGGTTTGGTATGGGTTGACGATGAAGGCATGCTAAGCAATAAAACCCCAAAGCAATTCAGGAAAATTGTATACAAAACAAAATACAGCAAAAAAATAAACAATGTGTTCGAAAACTGACAATCAACTCAACTCAACCGAACTCAAACTCTGTTCTCGATGGCTAATAAAACACTTAGGCAAGCAATTGTTGTTGCTGCGGTCGCAAACTTTTCCGGAATAATAATGCATCATATACTTGTACAAGGGGCAATGAAGGATAAAAAAAAAAAATAAAGGAGAGATGCTGAAGCATGCAGCGTTTGGAGAACCATCCATCAATTTGTCAATTCAGCGCTTGCCTTTGAGTGGCTGGCCATGGGACACGAATGATGTTAGATGATGATGATGATGGGCAGTAGTTGTGCTGGAGTGCTGGCCATAAAAAATCAAGCAGGCTTGGATGTGAAAAAAAATACAAATAACTTTTATAGATGCTCTTACACTCGCTGACATTAAGGGAATATTAACTTGGAAGCTAGTTGGAAGTTGCAAAAAAAAAAATGATTTAAAATCCATTGTTTTTTGTAATGGCTAATGACATTGGGTTCTTGTTATTTTAATTCGATATTTTGCAGAGTTCCTTGTTTTAACTATTGGCTTTATTTACTTAATTTATTTAGTTTTCTTACGTTGTAAAATGTATGACCAAATATTTAAAAAGACATTAATTCTGAAGATTTTTCTCTTGATTTCCACAAATGTAAGACTCAAGCTCGCTTTTGTTCTTAAAGGACGGGAAGTCACTGACTTGTCGGGGATTTCTAGGCTTAGCAATAAGTTTTCCAGCAGCCCATTTGATTCATTCAACTTTAAGGCCTACTCTTGTTGCTTTCATCCCCCCAAAGACTTTGAGCCGAGATGATAAGCAAATGAAATGTTGTCGCCGACCCACATGACGAATGATTAATGACACGAATGATACATTTCGCCCGGGGCAAGCCACGAGCCACAGAAAAGTTTAAACTAAACTTTAACTAAAGCAGGCACTTTTTCACTCGGTGTCACGGTCCCTCGCTGCGAATTTCGCTAGTCACAGCTTTGAATGATACTGTTTGCAAAGTGACTGAGTCCCGGACTCTTCTTCTGCTACATTAGCCTACTTCCTCCGCCCTACATCCTACATCCTACTCAGGATTCCTCTGATGCAGCAACAACTTGTGATTGTGTATTTGCTTAAGCCGAGGTCGCTTTCCTGTTTCCTTCCGCAGCTTTTCCACTTTCCCGCTGATGCTGATGCTGATGCTGCTGGATGAAAAGGGGGGGTAAGAAAATTGATTTTAAAATAGTTGGTCTGCCTTTTTAAATTTGATTGACGTTATTACATTACATAACATCGCACACTAAGAGGAAAGGCGAAGCATCTGGCTTAAGTTATTCATCCATTTAGCCCCACTTAGGGGTTGGGGGTGGCGGTTTGGTTTTGCAGGGTTAGAGAGAGCGAGAGCGAGATAGAGGCAACAACAAGTGGAAAACTGTCATTATATTTGAGTTATTGATGGTTTTTTTTTTCAAAATCATTTTGCAACAATGTTGCCGCCACCGACCCACACTTACACACATACAATTTTGCAGCCACACGCTGACAGGATCTCCACCCCCTCCCACCGCCCCTTACCCCACTCTTTACACACATACACACACTGTTACATTCACGCTTAGTTAAACGCATGGCTGTGGCTTGTTAACGCCGACAAGCGCAAAAGTTTGCCGTTCGTCGAATGCTTGCGATAATCGACAAGCTCTCACATACTCGACCATATGCACAAGAAAAAAAAAACTTTCTGAAAATCACAAAAACTTAAACCGATTGAGATCTTCGGAAGTAAGAAATCATTTTCACATTAACAAAAACCAAATGTTTCAAGACTTCCTTAATATTAATTAAAACTTCGGAAACAAAATCTTACTTTAATTTTTTGTAAAAAAAAAACCCATGGTCGAAAGTCTTCTTTCCCATATAAAAGTTAATCAGAATAGTATTTCAAATAAAAAAAAAGGATTTATATGCATACAATTGTATGATGGTTGTGGTTGAAAATCGGCGAATTCACATAAAGTCATATGTGTTCATAAATGTAAGTTTAAGTTTTTAAAAATTTTACATTGTGAAATAATTTGATATATTTATAATTTATTTCTAATTTCTATCTTATTAAATGTATTAATCCTGGAACGACAAAAAGTTGACTTTAAAAGCGCTAGTCATAACACTGAACCGAAAGACTGGAAAGATTTTGATTTACATTTTTATACCCTTGCAGAGGGTATTATAATTTCAGTCAGAAGTTTGCAACGCAGTGAAGGAGACGTTTCCGACCCTATAAAGTATATATATTCTTGATCAGCATCACTAGTAGAGTCGATCTAGCCATGTCCGTCTGTCCGTCCGTCTGTCCGTCTGTCCGTCCGTCTGTCCGTCTGTCCGTCTGTCCGTCCGTTTATATGCAAACTAGTCTCTCAGTTTTAAAGCTATCTGCATGAAACTTTCCCAAAAGTTGTCTTCCTATTGCAGGTAGTATATAAGTCGGAACGAGCCGGATCGGACGACTATAGCATATAGCTCCCATAGGAACAATCGGAAAAATAATTTAAAAAAAATTATAACTTTGCTGTTTTTTAATTTTTTGTTTTGTTCTTCGACATAAAGCAATGGTTAAATATTTCAGAATTATGGTTAAAATTTCATCAAAATCGGACGACTATAGCATATAGCTCCCATAGGAACAATCGGAAAAATGATTGAAAAAAAATTATAACTTTGCTGTTTTATTAATTTTTTGTTTTGTTCTTCGATATAAAGCAATGGTTAAATATTTCAGAATTATGGTTAAAATTTCATCAAAATCGGACGACTATAGCATATAGCTCCCATAGGAACAATCGGAAAAATGATTGAAAAAAAATTATAACTTTGCTGTTTTTTAATTTTTTTTTTAGTTCTTCGACATATAGCAATGGTTAAATATTTCTGAATTATGGTTTAAATTTCATCAAAATCGGACGACTATATCATATAGCTCCCATACAAATAATAAAAATATATAAAAGAACAATCAAATAATTAAGCTGCAAATCGTCATAGCTTCAATGTTTTTAAACATATACGCAAGTAAATCATAATTTTAATGTTTTCAAAAATATTTAATTCTTGCGATAGCTGCAAGGGTATATGAACTTCGGCTTGCCGAAGTTTGCTTTCTTTCTTGTTAAAGACAATTTTCTGTCTGTGTAGAAACACACATACTTCCAAGCAACCTGCTCGCATTCAGAAAATTCCGGCTGTGTGAGGCTGTCTATTGAATATTTTCCTGTTTTGGCAACAGTCCAAACACCATTTCAAAAACTGACATTTAAAATTATGGAAATTCCGCCCCTTACATCGAACCCAACCACCGGGCCCCTTGCCATTATGTAATTGTTATTGTAAATAGTTTTATGCAAATTTTCCCGCTGTCAGCAAAACTGTCAACGGACCTTGATTGATGCATGCGGACAGTTTGCATATGAATCATCTTTCGCGTGTGTATGTGTACGTGTGTATGCTCCCAATTTCATTTCTTGCTTTATTTAGTTTTTAAATATTTATGGCCCTTTTTCATGGTGTACCCTCCCTCAGTCTTCATTTACAACTAACGTCTGTTTGGCTTGGCCGGACTTTGGCTTTTGGCCTCGCAATTAAAACAATTTACGCGCTCAATTTAAGCCCGCACAAACAAACACGAATGGGGCAAAAGCAAAGGAGCAGGGCAGAAGTTTAAGAGAGCTGAGCTCCGAGCTGAAGATTTGTAGTGCCTTAGCCAAGCGTTTTCGACTTGGTAAATGCATAATGGACAGTGTGTTGTTGTTTGCCCTTGTTTTTGTTGCTCCTGCTGCTGTTGCCCCACAATGGTGGCACTAAAAATAGCAGCAAGGCAAAGTGACGAAAAGCAAACGAACTGAGCCAAGAACGCGCGTCAGTCATTGGTTTTTTTTTGGACCCGGCGATTTCCTTTTCTCACACTGAGGGAAATCAAGGACATAGAAATAAAAAAAATTTACTTGTACTTGAGATTAAGCATTTTTATGGTTCGAATTTAATTTAGAAAATTGATTTGCTTACTCTTAAATTAATGGGAAGTTTCATTTGCATATCGTAGTTGAAAATTGTCAAGTCAAATTAATTTGTTATATAGTGTTTCGATATTTTAATTTTTAAATCATTAAAATCTTTTTGGAGTATTCTTTGAACTTCATTAATAAGATCTAAAAGTGAAATTAATTGTTAAAAATGTTCCAAATGAAAATTTTCGTTGATAGTAGAAAAATGTTTAAATCAAAATATTTTCCTTAAGAAAATGTTATTAATAATAATAATTTTTGTATTTCGAGAACCTATTAGTTGAAATAAAAAAATATTCCAAAGTGAAATAAAAACATTACTTGACTTCATAGTTTTAAATGAAGTGATTAATATTGTTCTATTAAAAACGTTTTCAAACATTTTTTGTCAGTGGTAGGTGGGTGTAAATTGACAGAGGTAGCGACGTATCCTTCTCCATGTCAGTGGCCAGGGGCTGTCAAAGGATTTCACGGACCTTTCCAGGGTATCGTTTTCTTCGATTAAGCCCGCTCCTTTTGGACCGTACCTCTTTCTTTGTTCTCCTCCTCTGCTTTTGGCCTTTTTAAGCAGGGTGGTGGATGGATGCGACGTCCATTATCCACTTTAAGTTGCCCGCCCTTGCTGCGTGTATGTGTGTGTGTGTGTGTGTGTGTGTGAGTGTCCTGGTCCCCTTTGCATTGGTATGTGTGTGCAGCTTGGTTGGTGTTTGTTGTTCGTTTCGCTGTTTGCTTTTGCTTGCCGCAGCCATGTTTTGCGTTTGTGTGAGTTTATGTTTGCTTCTGGTTATGCCCCACAGCTGTAACCATGTGTCTGTGTGTGTATGGGTGTTTGTGTGTTGGAATATATACATATATATATATATATGCGGATTCCAATCAATATCGTAGACGCAGTCGCCGCTGGTGGCCGCTTTTGCCCATTAAGCTGCATGTACACCAACTTACTGTCGTATTTTTAGAACATGCCAGTTGTTGTTCTTGTTCCTCTCGCTTTTTTTGCCGTTCTTGTTGCTGTTGTATTACGGCATGTAGCTGCTCTTTAAGGGCAAAGTATTCCATTATCCTTGAATGGCGAATTTCCCAAGGATTTCAGCATTCAGCTTACAGCTCCTGATGCAGCTGGCATGCGCATTGTTATTGCTGCGAGGTGCTCGCCGCATTTATTTTTAGTTACCGCCTGAATAAATCCATCCCCAGCATTTCATCCGACCATCAGCCTTGCCCAGATCCTCCTCCTGCCACGTGGCGTCCATTGTTTGTTGCTCCACACAGCGGCGAAGTTAAATGCATAATTAAGATGCAAAAATCAGAGGCCGAATGGATTTGGCTTGAAATTGAATGTTCACTATTCAAAGGTAAGCCGTATATATCCGGTTGTTGGTTGTAATATTTCCGGAAAGAAGAATTACTACCGGGGTGCTACAGAAATTTATAGAAGTTTGAAACTGTCAAAATTGGTGTATAAAAAAGCGGAGCCAAATTTTTTTTATAGCATATATCTTTAGTAGTGTCAATTATCGTGAGACTTCTGTGGCAAGCCAGTAAATTTTATATATTCTGCTTCGCCATTAAAAATGGTTGATAATTGATTAAAATGCTATGAAGTTTTTAAAAGAAAAAAATGCATATAGGAAGTTACCCAAGATTGAAATTTTTATTACACTTTTACGACAACTAGACGAATTCGCCACCCATTTAACCGTATTACATTTTTAACTATATGTTTTTTATTGCTAAAAGAAAGACACCCCGTGCAACGTATTTTTGCAATATTTGATGTTCTCAAATATTTGTGGCATTTAAAAGTACAAACAAGAATTGAACCTCTGAGACACCTTAACCAGTAAATTCATAGAGATTCGAAGTCGATGATATTTGCTTTCTGTATTTGGTCAGATGGACTGACAGGTGGAAAAAGCTGCAGACCATTACATCTCCTCAACTTCAAATTGCGGCAAGTACTCTCTGCACTCGGGTGATAATCGCAGACAATTCCTTCGATTCCTGTGCGCATTCAGCAAATGCCGTTGCATCCCCATTTACCCCCAACAACTCCCATCTGAGGCCATTGTTCTGTCACCCGAGCACAACTTCCGTCTTTCGCCTAACACATCAGCTTGACTCTTAAGTGGTTTCTAGTTAGTTTGCAATTTTCACTTGGCTAGCACACACACCGCACACACCACGCACCCCGGAATCCTGAATTTTTTTGTTCATCTTTCTGGATGCATGTTGGGGTCGGTGTTTTTGTGTGGCGGTTTCATGAAAAGACTATGGCACAGGAAGAGCAAGTTTTTGTCACGCATATTTACTGTTTGTATGTGATCCCCCCCTTTGTTCGCTCGGAAACTTGCTGCTGCAGTTCACTGCCAGACAATAGCCACAACTTTTGCACCCAGATTTCTTTCCTCTACAGACACACACGTATCAGCCACTAAAGCACACCAACGCCCATACCCATGCCCATGCCCACGCCCACGCCCACCTACTGACTTTTGTCTGCAGTTGATCCTTCGGCGGCAATTGTCCTCGCCTGTCAGTCGAGAGACAAAAGTCGAGTCAAAACAGTAAATGTAATTATTGAGAAACGGCACCGCTTACTTTGAGGTGACACAACTGGATGAGCCACGACTCCACGACCCCAAAAAATGCCACCATCCCCGCCATCCCGTAACGAAAATTGCAACAGAAGCAGATCAAAGTTCGCCGGGGGCAACTGTTGGCGAAGCAGAGCATAAAATGAAAAATAAATAAGAAATAAGCTGAATGTGGAGCCAAATGCACTTTTACCCCCCGCGCGCTCTTCTTTTTGGGCAAACGCAGCCAAGTGACTTGAGGGCAAAAAATGGCAAATTAAATTTTGTTCGGAAAATGCAACGAAATGGAAAAGGAGAAAGGAGCGGAAGGGAAAGAAAGCACTACGAAACGAAACCAAAAGAAACAGGACGGTAGAAACAGGATAAGCTCTGTTCAGCCACAGAGCAAGCAAAGGAATTAAAGCTCGAGTAATTTCTAAAAACACCAAAAACACCAAAAACCACGAGACACAGACGGGAAACGAGCGAGTCTATCGAGAGCAACCGCAATTACTGCTACAACCGCACTGAATTCGAGTCACGAGCAGAAGAACCGACTTTTTCATTTGTTTATTTTTGCCTGCTGCCATGGAATATGCAATTAA